TGATTGGTCCCCACTGCCTCACCTCCAGATTGTAAATAATAACTATGTGCCTGGCCTCTGCACATAGACTTGCTCCAGAAGACCAGTTTAATAAATTGGGGAAATGACTAAAGGGGTTATGTGCGTGCACAGGCGAGCTACTGCTGTGAACATATTTGCAAGGCTGTGCCCATCCCATAGTGACACACATTCCCCAGCTCCCACAACAGCCTGGAGAAACATAATCACATGGCTAGCATGTGCAATACCTGTCTGTTATCACCTGACGTGGAACATTAGCGGGGCATTGCTCCAAGTTCAAAGTGTGTTACTGGGTACAGGAATTACTATCCCAAGAAGTTTGGAATTCTTTTCTGCCTGCCCCAACCCCAAAAAAGTAAGGTTCTAGTTCTTAAGACTGTGATAAAAGAATTGAAAGTATGTGTGTGTCTGATGAAATCTGACAAGCTGAGAGAAAGGGCTGAGCAGGATCCTCTGTGGTCAGAAAGTGAGGCTTTCATGCCATGAGCAGAAATGAGTTGTTGTTGTTGTTGTTGTTTAGTCATCTAGTCGTGTCCAACACTTCATGACCCCATGGACCAGAGCATGCCAGGCACTCATGTATTCCACTGCCTCCCACAGTTTGGTCAGACTCATGTTCGAGAACACTGTCCAATCATCTCGTCCTCTGTCGTCCCCTTCTCCTTGTGCCCTCAATCTTTCCCAGCATCAGGGTCTTTTCCAGGGAGTCTTCTCTTCTCATGAGATGGCCAAAGTATTGGAGCCTCAGCTTCAGGATCTGTCCTTCCAGTGAGCACTCAGGGCTGATTTCCTTCAGAATGGATAGGTTTGAGCAGAAATGTAGAGATTAACAAATTCAGCTCATCATGCTTTTCCTCATTAAGTCTTTGGCAGAACTACTTAATCCTCGCTCCCTACTGAAACTAAGTGCACATGACTCCCAAACTGGTCTTCTTTTCTTTCCCTATTTAGCCTCATTTCTATCTTCTTTCTACCTACTGTCTTTCTCTGAGCAGGACTCCTGAGCAGATTCTGTTTCTTCAATGAAAGAGTTGATTTCACTTATTCGGTGTGATTTATTGCTGGCTTGCTCCTGACACTACTGTGGCTCGAAAAACCAAACAGCTTGGATGAGGAGCCACCAGACCCAGGAAACCCAGCACAGAACAGGGGCAGCATTTCATCACGTTGCTTTGGCCAGGCTTTATCATGCTCTCTGGTCCAGGTTCAGCAACTACAGAAGACCCACTCCAGACCTATCTGATTATCTAGGATGGATCTGGGTACCATTCAGCGTTGGCAGGGTGGTATTTGAAGAGATGTTCAGCAGGTGGGACAACTCTTACCTCTTGCATTTGCTTTCTCGCCAGCAAGGAGGCGGGCTGGGGGTTTCTTCTGCATCATGATCTATTTGCATCCAATACCACGCTCTAAATGCTAACTAGCAGGCCACATTGCCTCACACAATAGTGCCATATGGAGCTAACATCTGATACTGCTTGAGTATGACTCCTTCCCCGTCAAAAACACGTCAAGCAGCACTGTACATTACACTGTGGCATTTAAATAGTAATAATTTGGATGTGAAGGCTAAATTAGAAAAATGTGCTGCACGTTAGAAGCATGAATTCCTCTAGAGGGGATGGAAAAAATAACAATTAGTCACTGTCTTTCAGCAGCAGCAGAAGCCAAGGTACGCAAGTGAGATCCTCTGTGATCCGTTTTAAAAATCCACTCTTATTTTTACCCAGGGAAGAGCAGTTAAGTTCAGCACCCAGCATAGAACAGGGTTGCCTAAATTCATTTATTTCAAGAGGCTTAACTACACCCAAATCCATGTTGGACTTTAGGCTGAAATTCACATATCAGTTCAGCTTAGCTCCATTTATACTAAAATGTAAGTTGCCTGTACATGTGACTCTTAGGCTCAAGTAGTGGCCTGGGACTGCCAGCTCAATCAAGGTACCACTCAGCTCCTAACTATCAGCGAAAGGGCAACTGCAGTGGCAGGCAATCAGTGGGCAGCTTGGGTTATATTGGTGGACCAGCTGAAACAGTATTATTGGGAGCGAAGGGGAGGCAACTTTTGCTTGTCTACCCCAGGCAGCACGTCTTCGCAGGACCCAGAAGTGATACTTCAATGGGATGGTGTGTTTTAATTTTCTGTACCTATTTCTGCATGCAAAATGAACACAAAAAAACTCAGGGGGAAATGTCCTGTTATAGCAAGGCTATACTGTGTCAAGTTATGCCATCTTTGCCAGCACGCTCAGCAAGCCTCGTCGGCAGATGTCTTCACACAGGGGCCTTGGTACTACCAGCTCTCGACCTATGTCATAATTAGCCCCACAGAATTGTTGTGGGGCTAAAAACCAAGTGTACAATGCCCTGAAGCAGTGTTCAAAACTCCCGTTGTTCTAGGCGCATTTTGCGACAGGGAATTTCATTAGTGTGAGCAGTTTCTGAGCTCTAAGATTTCAGATTAAAACTGTAGAGTGGAAGGAAAGGAGGACCTTTTTCTGCTTCCCCACTTCCAGCTACTCTCTGAAGACTGGAGAAGAGACCCTCTTAAGAATATTAGGGGCGCAGGCAGGGGAAGGACTAGACCATGTGAAAAATGAACATAATATTTTAGCTGCAGTTCATTCATTTTCAGCTTTGTATTCTTGTTATTAAAAAAGCACACCTAAGACATTCCATTGTTGCGCCCATAACCTAGGTTTAAGGTGGCATTTAGCTCCTAGCTTTCATATCTCAGTTTCTAAGAAGTGCTTGGGTAGGATGCAAAAATGAACGAGGGAGAAATGAGCATACAAAAGTGCCTGAGTCAGCTCATCCGTTCCTCTGGCTCAGTTCTGTCTCTTCTAACTGGCAATTGCTCTCCAAGGTCTCGCTCTCTTGCAGAGGTCTTTCCCCATCGTGCAACCCGATATCCTTTTAAGTGGCGATGCCTAAGATTGAACCTTCTGCATGCAAAGCTTGTATGTAACCACAGAGCTATGGCCCCTCCTGGAATAAATGTGACAGCAAACAAACACTTCAGCCAAAGCGGTATGCAAATGAAAGGAGACGTTTTCATAGGTTTCAATGGACTGGGATCAGGCATGCTGAGTTCAGCGAGATAGCAAAACTGTCAACAACAGCAGCTCCAAATCCCTGAATAATCTTTGAAACATAGGGAGCTACCTTTTAGTGAGTCCTTCTAGTGCAGTATTGCCTATACTGGCTGGCAACAGCTCTCTGGTATTGAACCTGCGACCTCCTGCATTCAAAGCAGACGCTCCACCCAGAACCACAGGGGGGTAGAATTGGAAGGGATCATGGGGGGGTCATCTAGTCCAACCCCCTGAAATGCGGAAGGTACCTTCCTGAGCTACCTTCCCCAAGGTACTCTTGCTTTACACATGGGTTTAAGTGGCTGGGAACACTGACACCAGAAAACGTCTTACCGCAGAGCTTTCCAAACTTTTCAAGTTGGTGACACACTTTTTGGACATGTACCATTTCGTGACACAGTAATTCAGTTTTACTGGCAAACCAAGGCCACAAACTAACCCCTTTCCAGCCCCGGGAGGAGCATGTTCGTGCAACACACCTACAAACTGCAGCTGACACACTAACGTGTTGCAACACACGGTTTGGAAAGCTCTGTCCTATTGGATCGCGAACATTTCATCACAACTAAGGCCCAAGAAACACAGGAAGTTGTCTTTTACCAGATCAGACTATTTGTCCTCCTGGCCCAGCAGCGGTTTGCCAACATGGGTTCACGTAAAGTGGATGTAGGTTTCTTTCTTTACAATGAGGAAAGAACGCACAAACCCAGAGAATAAAGTCTGCCTCTCTCCCACCTCACTTTGCTGTGTCCCACCTGATTTAAGCAATTTTTTCTCAGTCTAGCTCCGATACCGCGAGTGAACGAGGCAGAGAGAAAATTGCTTAACGTCACAGAAGGCAGTGAGGTAAGATGGAAGGAAGACCAGGGCAGTGCTGGCTGGTAGGGCCAGTTTGCTACCCCACTGCCTCACCAAACCACTGTCCTGGTATGTGGTGGCAGAACAGACTCACAAATAAAATAAACTTGGGCCGCATCCACGCAATACGTTTAAAGCAGTATTATACTGCCTTAACCGTCATGGCTTCCCCCCCAAAGAATCCTGGGAACTGTACTTTGTTAAGGGTGCTATGTGGTGTTAGGCATCCACTCCCCCCCTCACAGAGCTACAATTCCCAGTGGGATATAAAAATTAGTCCCTTTGGGAACTGTAGCTCCATAAGGGGAATGGGGGTTAGCACCCTTAGCGAGCTACAGTTCCCAGAATTCCTTGCAGGGAGCCATGGCTATTGAAGTGTTGTGATAGTCCTTTAAATGGACTGTGTGCCTCAGTAAGCCGTTCACATCTTGTTTGACACAGACTTTCAAAAAAAGGGGTGGGTGGGTTGCAGAGTGTCTCACAATAACGTACACCATGTAACGTAAGCGCAGATAACAGCACAAAGAAGAAATTACTCGGAAAGTCACTCTGTTTTATGATCTTGCTTCAGCTGAGGTTTCCCTCAAACAGACGCGCAGGCACAAAAGAGAAAAAAGGAAAAAAAGAGGCTGCCAAGTTCTTTGAACGCTTTTAATGAAATCCAGAGAAACGGCGCTCTCGCTGCTCACACACACGCACACATGCAAAATCGACAAAAGGCAGGTCTTGCCGTGTCACAGTTCTGTCAGACCAAAGCAGAAAATCTCCTCAGCTGCTAACCAGAAAAGAGCGGTCAGGGTTACTAGGTCCCTTGTCAGCTCCAATTTAGCTACCCAGAGACAGCACTGGAGTCTTCGAATTCCTCACGTTTGTACCTAAATGCAAGGGATTAACCTAGAGATGCCTAGTGACCGATATGGCAAAATGAATAAATGCGCTGAAACAACCAGCTTCGGTCTGATAATAAACTTGTCTTTGACTTCCACTGCTGCAACCATTTGCTTTATTTTATTTTTTTATTTTATTGAAACCTACTCTTTTATTTCTCTCAGAGTCTACACTCCAGAAAAAGACAGCATGGTGCTGTGGCGAGAGCATCAAACTAGGACCCCCAGGAGACCAAATCCCCACTTGACTATGTTGCTGTCACCTTGGGCCAGTTTCTCAGCCTAACCAACTTCGCAGGGCTGTTGTGAGGATAAACTGAGGAGAGGAGAACCACGTCTAACCACCCTGAGCTCCTTGGAGGAGAGATGGGATATAAATGTAATGATTAACCAATGAATGATGTAAAGTTCCACAGTGAAGGGACCTTTGATCCAGTGAATTCAAGACCAACTTCATCCTATCATCGCTCCACTAGGAAAGCCCAGTTCAGGGCCTAATTTCCCCTATTTTTCCAACAAGAACTTGCCAGATGTAGATTTATGCCCACAGAGTTGTTCACGGGCGTAGGGTAGGCCTCTACATGGTGGGGATTTCCTATTTTCCCTCAGAGAAACATCTTTGGCCAATCCTGAAGCCCTTCTGTCAGTGGTTTGGGGAGGGGGGTGTATTTTGCTTGTATGTTGCCGCCAAAACAAGAACAAGTCTCGTTTGCACCTTTAAAGATTTGTATGTTTAGTATGGCATCATCATCATCATTAATTATTATTTATACCCCGCCCATCTGGCTGGGTTTTGCGCAGCTTCCAGAAAAATATTAAAATACAGTGCTACCTCTGGTTGCGGACAGGATCTGTTCGGAGGTCCGGCTGGATCCCGAGGTTTTCGCAACCGGAGAGACCGCTTCTGTGCACACATGTGCGGCCAAAAACCCGGAAATATACTTCCGGGTTTGCCGCTTATGTGTCCCGAAGTTTACATAACCAGAGGGATATGTAAGCGGAGGTACGACTGTACAATAATTCATCAAATATTAAAAGCTTCCCTAAACAGGGGAAGTGTCCGTGGTCTAGAGTCTGCCACTCTACAAACCAGGAAAGTGTGGTTTAATCCCTGCTTACAGGATATCAAACCAGGAACTGATCCATGACTGCAATGTCTGAAGAAGACCAACACAATGGTGCAATACAGGATGCTTAACCACAAAGCATTTACCCATACCAAACCTGTATTTCATGTTAATTTGACAGCAAAGATGCGCCATGCGCATTATGAGTGCTTCTGTTATTTCGTCGGGAAACCCACGTTTGCATTTTGGATACCCTGTTCTGTTCTTGCTTCCAAATTGTGGGCTTGGAAAAAAAGGGATTCTTCTGAAAATCTCAGAGGCTGAATTTTAATATAATCTCCAATGCTTTCTTTGATTCATAAATTGATGTGCGTTCATAAATATACAGTGTGGTATCATGGCCAATCATTGATGTCAAGTAATAGAGTAGCGCTCGGCTGTCATTTCTCATTTTAGGTTACACCCATCATTTTGGTATCTGGGAGCTTGCTGTTAAAGTTAATAGGAGAAAAATGTTTCCAGCATCTAAGCCACCCTGACCTCTATCTTTTCCTATGAGCTGGAGAGATAAATGACGCTCAGCTGAAATAAAAACAAACCTGGCCATGAAAGCGTATCTCATCCTTCAAGCATTTACATTAAGGATTGTATCCATCTAAGCCATCATTAAGAGCAGCCCCACTGAAATGAATGGGATTAAGTTAGCCAACTTTGTTGGATACAATGCGGCCCTCCAATTCTCTCCAGCTGGCCCTCAGGATTCTCCTCCGTCACACCCCTCATTTCACCCCCCACTTGAGGGCTTCTGCCAAGCTGGAATGTTTCCTCAAACTCTGATAATGCCTCTTGCAAGCTTGGATGGAAGGAAGAGAGGGGTATGCGAATGCACTTAGCAACTAGCCTATTGTACAAAGTAAGGGGATGAGGGTGGCGCTGTGCTCTAAACCACTGAGCCTCTTGGGCTTGCCGATCAGAAGGTTGGTGGTTTGAATCCTCATGAGGGGTGAGCTCCCGTTGCTCTGTCCCACCTCCTGCCAACCTAGCAGTTTGAAAGCATTCCAGTGCAAGAAGATAAACAGGTACCGCTGTGGCGGGAAGGTAAACAGCATTTCTGTGTGCTCTGGTTTCCGTCACAGTGTCCCGTTGCGCCCGAAGCGGTTTAGTCCTGCTGGCCACATGACCCGGAAAGCTGCCTGTGGACAAATGCCTGCTCCCTAAGCCTGAAAGCGAGATAAGCGCCGCAACCCCATAGTCTCCTCTGGACTTAACCGTCCAGGGGTCCTTTACCTTTTTTTTTTTTTACCTTTACAAAAGTAAAACTTCATTACTCTGGCCACTTTTGGCTCGGGCATGTGTCCTTCAGCAGGGTGACCCAGAGTGACTTTGGCCCTTGGACTGAAAAGGGATCACTAGACGTATATGGTATTATGGTATATTGTATTATGGCATTATGAGAACTACTCTGATAGTTCATCACTGAAGTGAAAAGTAGATCTCCCCCCCCCCTGCAATAAACAATAACAATTAGTGGTGACACTGAACAGTTGCAGTGTAATTCCTTCCCTCTAGAGCAGGCATGGCCAAACTTGGCCCTCCAGCTGTTTTGGGACTACAATTCCCATCATCCCTGACCACTGGTCCTCTTAGCTAGGGATGATGGGAGTTGTAGTTCCAAAACACCTGGAGGGCCAAGTTTGACCATCACTGCCCTAGAGGTCCGTATGGCTTTCACACTACAGGTGTGTCTCGTCAGCCTGTGAAGCAGGGTGAGAGAATGTCTGGTCCTCCACATGTTGCAAAACTACAATTCCCAGCAAGCATGGTCAATGGCAAAGGGTGATGGGAGTTGTAGTTAGCAATATTCAAGTGTGCTTTGTTTGGTTTTGGTTGTTCATTTGTGAATGTTTGTTAATGTTGTTCTGCTGATTATGAGTGCTATAATGATTTGGGAATTGTAAAATACGACTTTTCTTATGGTTGTGCTTTTTAGCCTATTCTTGAGGTGTTTTGTTAACAGTGTTTTGTAGAAGGTGGTTGCTTTACTGGTGATTTGTTAATGATTCTATATGATTTATGTTGTAATTGTCATGTTCTAATTCCAGAATGTTCCAGTTTGTTATTGTCATTTATTTTTTGTAAGCCACTTCGTGACTTGTGGGAGTGAAAAGCAGCATAGAAATAGAATAAATGAAGCGAATAAAATATTTGAAGAACCACAGGTTCCCCGTATCTGCTATGAACTAGTTTTATTCCAACAAGCTTTCAATCTGGTGGGGGGTTTTTTGCTCTGAGAGAAAAGACCCACATTCTGGGCATGCTTTGACACTCCTTTAACTCCCCTCACCTCGCCAGACTTTTGTATTGGGGGGTTTTGTGACAAAAGTAGCTAGCTACCAGTGCATGGGGTTTACATAGCTATAAACCAAATGGGAAAACATTAAAATTGGTGCCAGACCATGAGCGCAGTCTTACTGTGCCATTATAAAAGTCCACCACAATTTTCTAAATAAGTGAGATGATAAAAAGCCAGTTGCCGCTGATGTTGCTCTAATAAACAACTGAGGAGTAAAACCACCATCCTTGGAGGCAAAGACCTAACACGCAGGTGAGCCCAAACTGCGCAGACTCGCCCATGTCTATTTTTGTAACGTGCTGTTTATGTGTTCTATATTTGTACTGGTCCAAAGGGAAGATCTAGGTATGAAGTGCAAAGTGTTATCTAGTTGGGTTCACATCTCACTGTGGCCACCTTCACCCCCTGGTCTTTCCAAGAGCATTGGTGACGCTGCTGAAATCTGAAGCAGGCACCTGCAAACCACCCTCCAAGGCCCCACAGAAGAGACACTACAGCAGGGCTTGTGGGACTGTCAAAATGGCAGCTTCCTACCTGATGGCTGCTGCCATTTGGTGAATTTGAGCCAAGGACTGGGAGAGGACCCAGCTCAAGCCGCAGTGTCCCTCTGGGCTGCTGGGCCCTCAGTCCTTGCCCAACCAGGCTGGGTCCTGCCACCAGCCTTGACCAATCCTAACTCTGTGAGTTCATACAAACAATGGCTAGCATGCAATGCCCCATAGGAATGCACGGGATCTCTGGTGAGCTCATGGCCGAGGGTGAGCTCCAATGGGCATCCACTTGTGCAACAGAGCTTCTCCCCCATGTATGTCTGCCCCCAAAGCTGCTCCAATTGAAGGAATGTTAGAGAGATGTTGGATTGAAAATAAGTGGTTTCCAGCTGTACAGGTTAAAGTTAATGATAGACTAAGATTAAAGATTAAGATTAAAGATGTTTAAAGAAATGGAAATTTGATACTAAGAGGGAAAATTTTAATGTTATATGATACTAAGATTAAGGATTAGGTTTAAAGAAGTTGAAGTTATATATTTTAATATTTTATTAAACTAAAGATTGGGATTAAAAAAGTGGAAAAGAAACTGCTGGACAAATAATTTGGATTGGAATACAAAAGAGGGAGGTATGAGGAAGTCCAGAAAATAAGTAATTTAAAAATGGAAATGGAAAAGAGATATTGTTTTTAATTGTTATGTGTGTGTTTTTTTTGTTTTTCTTTATTGTTGAATTTTGTGTTGTTTTTTGTGTGTGTTGTTGTGATATGTATTGTGTATGTTTTTCTTTTTCTCTTTTTGTTGTTGTTTAAAACCTTAATAAAAATTATTTAAAAAAAAAAACAAAGCTGCTCCAATTGCAACCTGTGCAATCCAGCTTTTTCTGAGCTATCCTATGTATCCACTCTTTTCAGTTCATACCAACAATGACTTCAGCCAGGTCAGAAGTCTTCCAGCAGTGCCATCGCTAACTCCTGCCCCCCACCCACCCCGGCCCATCAATGGTTGCATATGCTGGCCTGGTGATTTCAAAAAACACATCTCTTTGGGATAAAACAAATGTTACACCAACTGTGCAATTGCATTTAATGTGTCTGGTTTTCCTTTTAGAAACAGCAGCAGGGAGGGAGCAGGCGTAGCCCTTTCTTCTGCGCCATAAACCTGACAAAACCTGCCTCTGAATCTTCTATTTGACCAAAAAGAAAACAATAGGGCCAACTGCAGCTTTCTTCCCATGGCACATAGCAGCTCCAGAGGGCATTTCAGATGGCAACATGTTATCAGAGGTGGGAGGAAGGGTACACATCCGCCCTACATTGCTTGTGCCATGTTAAATGCCAGCCCAGGCGATTAAAAGCTGCGATAGTGCGCCACTGGTGTGCACATAAACCAAATCCCATGAATTTCAGCTGGCATTCCATGCTCGGAACTGTGCGCCACCCACTTTGGTTGCTTCTTGAATCCTGGTTCACGGAGCTCCGCTTATGCAACATTGGCAGCAGCCCCTTTCTAATGTTCAAAATGTTAATCCCACTCAGAGATGGATTAGCAATAACACATCTCTTTTTTACCTTAGCGGTGGGAGCTCAAGGATCAGGACATTTTGAAAATGCTTTCACTTGGGAATTGTGCCCAGCACATCCATAGCTGATGCTTACACAAATACCCATCTGTTCATGGCTGGGTGCCGAGCCCACCCACAGATAAGAGGGAATAGCTACACACACACACACACACACACACACACACACACACGAAAGACAGAGAGGGGAGATCTGCCTGGATTTGGACTGCAATTGTGCTTAATATTGACAGGAGCCCTTTGGCATGGCAGATACCCAAGTATCTGGATTCAGAAGTGATGCTGCCATGAGGAGATCACACACACTCGCTCACACAATTTCTGCAAACATTTATCCTTGGGGTGCAGAGGGCTGTGGAAGTTTACATTTCCCAGAAGTTCAGGCTAAAAATTGATACCAGCCCCTTTGTTAGCATTACTGGGGATCTGGGATGGGTCGAATGAAGGTGGTTTGGAGAAAAGATTTATTCTATGTGTATTGCTAGCTGCCAGGATGGCTATTGTAAGAACATGGAAATATATTGAGGGATTAAATATGGATTTAAATTGTAGTCATATCTGGTCGATGGCTATCGCTGAAAAAGTAACTCAAGGACTGAGGTAAATTAGAGGGCAAAAATAAATAAATGCTGAAAATATTGTGACACAAAGAAGTATTTCATATAGAAATGATTATAACAACGTTCAAATACCTCCTGCAAAATGGGCTACTATTTGGAATTCTTAGTAACTTTTCAGCTCCATGAGAGAATATCATAAGACCTTGAAGGCAACACTGTGATACCTATATACATATATTATATTCTATTGTTTAGACTTCTTGTTTTAGATTGTATGTCCCTTTGGGGTGCATTTTTTAATTTTAACTGTGCTACTATATTAATATTATTGATATTATTATTATTATTATTATTATTATTATTAAACAACCGTACTTTGAGTAGTGGCTTTATTAAATGTTCAAAGAATGCTGGTAGCAATACGTAATAAGCTGCCTCAAGCCACAAAGAGACAGATTTTGGGGTATCCTGGTATTTACATTTTGAAATACAGCAACCCTAATCTAATTTAATATTACATTAAGACAGGTGGCATTCTGAAGCAATGGGTTAACAGCAACAGAATGCAGATTGATTATTTAACTGTTTGGAGCAATGGCAGAACACAGAAGAAATCAAATGTAGAAATATTCAACTCTGTGTTACTTCGAAGACCCAATACTTTTCGTTTCTTTTTGAAGTTCAACAGGAAATACAGGAAACTACCAAAAACCCCATCAATTCATATTGTCAGATGGGCCCAGCAGAACCATCTGTGTGATCATCCTGTTAGATCATTAAGATAAAACGGCATTTTCCCCATGACATTACAAAAATAAAATAAAAGCCAAGCTTGATGTCGTCTCTTGACTTTCAATGCAATTCTGTATCTAAGCATTGGGAGAAATCCAATCCAGTGTGCATTTAATGGTAAATCTATCTCACTGCCACTTTCTGAAACAACACACGAAGAGAACACAGCTATCTCTTGAAATTTGTGCTTCTCCAAATTTTGCAAGCAATCCCGAATTATCTGTACAAAGATGCATAATAAAGAATGCTTTAAAATGCACGTATGAGTGAAAACAACGTGCAAAACACATTACATCAGAGGAAATTGTTTTTTGCAAAAAATAAGCGTATTAGGCAAAATACAAAAAAAAATGTGGAGATGTCGAGAACTTTGCACTAAAATGATGATCAATT